ACTAGAATTGGTGGCCTAAGGAAACATCTCCACGTGCTAGAGATGGGCCATCCAGTATAGATGTGCCACAAAATGACTATAATAGCTTTCTGTAGGAGCCCTTGCTGTATCCCCATGTCCTCCACCATTTCTCTTTCTTTCCCATCACTGTAGATGTCAATGAATCTTCATAGAGTCTCTTAATTTTGGATTACCGCAGGTGCATATTTTGCCTCTCAACAACATCCTTCTGAAAGTGCTCTCTCCAGAATTGCACACTGTAACTTTCCAAACCTGTTCTAATAGCACTAGTATTGTATATACATGTGTGCATTCAGATGTACATTGATTAATACATATTAATCTAGCTGACTAAAGCATTCTTTTTAAGTGAAACTTTCCAGATTTTCTTTACAGTAGGGAAATCAGAAAAGCGAAGACAAATTAGTTTTGAAAAATGTTTTGGTTTTTTCCATTTCCCTGAAAAAATACCAATTCTGCGACGCATCTGGAATGAATGTTTATTTTCATCTTGTTCACATTTTTAAAAGAAAAACAAACACTCATTTTGACCAGATCTATCTGGCATGTAATGTTTTATGACGAGTGCTTGAAATACTATTAGCGCTTGCCTTGATCAGTAATCAGGAGAAAGGACGGCAGTGTCATTTTTGACAGTTTTACAATGCTAATATGTGCTCGTGTGCACGCGTGTACACACGCGTGAACATGCACACGCACACATACAACTCAAGATCTCATTGGTCCCTTTTTTACTAATAAGTAATGGCAGGATAGTTTTCAATTGGCCAGAAGGCTTTCTTGCTCCATTCTCTCCTCTGAGCTTTTACCGCTCTTGATCTTAGCTGGATTCAAAGGACATTAAAATTAATGGAAAGACTCCCATTGACTCCAGTGGGCTTTGGATAAGGCCTTAAGTCCTAATCCTCCTGGCCCTTTGCATGCAGAACTCCTGCTGACACAAATAGAAGCTCCATGCAGGGACAGTTTACAGGGTCACACTGTGTGCATGTTTCAAGTCAAACACATACAGAAACTGAAATTTTAAAAAGGCCTGGGTAATTTTCTCTCTCTCGCTTTTAATCCATTAATACACTTGGGAGCTAGGCAAAGCTAAAGGCAAAATCAGGAATTTTCTTTCCTCGGGAGCATTTTGCAATTGCAAGGTGAAGGATCATGGAATTGTTCTGGTCAGCTTTCATTTTATCCAGAGAGATACAAGTCCATACGTAAGATCTTCTGTTACAGAGAAGATTAAAAGGTTGCCATGATCTGGGCTTCAGAGACAGGACCCAAGAGAAAAGCAGGCACTGTGGTGCATGGTTGCATTTCAGGATCCTGCTGGCTTTATATCCGGTGCCTTTTGGAGTGTTTAGCTTTTTCCCCCCTTTTTTTTCTTTGGGAATATTTTTATTTGCTACACTCCTCCCTCTCTTTCCTTTTGAGTAATACCAAAGTTGTAGTTTACTCGGCAAAGCTTGCACAATATGTTACCCTCCAGAGCCTGTTCAGCTGCAAAGATCACAGCTTGTTAGAGATTAAATGGAATTTTTCAAATTTAACAGCACTTAGAAAAAAAAAGAGCCAAACTTTCTCCCCTCCCCAGCCCCTAACCTTTTCCTAAATATACCTAACAAGCTGCAAAACTCGAGTCGGGAAGACAGGAGTCAGCCACCGATGCTGTCTGCCTTGATGTCTTGAAGGGCTAGATCCGACGGGATCTCCCACTGTATGGCGCTAGATATTTAATAAAGTAAAACCCCCAAGATCAAGAAGGCTGCAATCCCTCCCAGCTCCTTTCTTCTGCTTTTGCTCGAGTTCTTTAAAGCCTGCCTCCCATTTCTCTCTCCTCTCTCTCTCCAGAAAATCCTTTCATGCCTCCCTCACCAGACTGACATTTTGACAAGTTGCCACGAGTGACATCTGATTTGTACAAATTTCAAGACTAATAAATCTACCTGTCAAAGCGGAAACTTTAAAAGGAGCTAAGCCCAGCGGGTATAGTTTAACAGAACTCAAGTTGATGAAACTGTAGGATGGAGAAATTATATCTGTCACAATCCACCCACATTAGTTCTGTAGAGATGTTGGCAACTGAAACAAACGTCTTTCACAGCCTTGCAAAAAATAAAAGGAGCCTGTTAATACCGTGAGTAACGAGTAACAGTTCTATTTGTAAACTAGCAAATTTATTTATTTAATTTTTAATTTGCTTGCAGATGTATGAGAGACCCCTCCCTCCCACGCTCATCGCGCTACTGAGCGAGCTGGACTTACCCAGCAAGGCCCTCTGATCCGGCGAAGTGTTTAACTTCAAGCACGGGAGTGGCTCCATTGATTTCAGTGGAAATATATTCACAGGCTTAAGTGCTTTGCTGCATCGGGGCCTCGGGTAGTTATGACAACCAATAGAAACGTCAGTAGCGCTGATGGATCACAAGGCACAATATGCAGTCTTAGACTGATTAGTATGACTTGAACTACGCTGTCATATCACACAGAGCCCCTGTTGTGCGGGGCACTGCTTAGTTAGAGACAGCCCAGGACAGACAAATGGCAGGAGAGAGGAGTCATTATTATCCCCATTTCACAGACAGGAAACTGAGGCTCAGAGAGGTTAACGTGTCTAAAATCATATACGCTTGTGTGTGGCACATTTGCGCACTGAGGTCAAAGCTGATGAGGCCTACTTCTAGCCACATGACTATCCTTCTCCCTTTCTTTCCTGTAGTCCTCTCACCTGGATTTCTCCTGTCCTCTGCATTAAGCCATTTTTCTACCTGTCTATGCAAACAAGTTGGACTCGCATCTGAGCCCTTTCCTTCCTCCTGACTTTCCCCTGGCCTGTGAACTGGTCAGGTTTCTCAACCCTTTTAGAACTTTTTCATTAATATGACCCCCCATGGGGGTTCATGGTAATGGATGGCTCAGTAGGGAGTGACAAAACATGCCTAGGAAGCTCATTGCCAGGCATTCTTGGCCCATCTAGAAGCAGAAGCCCATTCCCCCTTGAGGGCTCCAGCCCAGCTTTTGCAAGGCTTATGGGCTTGGGGAAGATTGGAGGAGCAGAGCATCTAAACTGAAGGAAACCTCTGAGCCCTTCAGGATTCACCTACTTTGCATCTCTTGGCACAGGCTCAGAGGTTAAAGCCGTGTCTAAAACTAGAGTACAGAAGAGGAGAGGTGCTTAGAGGAGGCTTTAGATAAACATCCAGAACTGCAGCGAGAGGCAGGGTGACTTATGCAGCTGCATCCGCTTTTTATTGCCTCTTTGGTTTCTGATGCAGGAATGTGAGCACCCAATTCATTCCCCTCTTTGGAAAGAGATGGATTTGAAAGCAGAGCCTTCCATGAAGCCCCTGCCTCCATATCTGTAGCACTGAGCGCGTCTTCAGGTGTAGCTAACGGCTGAAAAAGACTTCTGAGCTGATGATTTATGACGGCCGGCTTTGGTTGTAACTTGCCCATCTCCTTTCATTACAGAGGAGACATAAGCATTCGCTTTCTCCACTTGAATCCCATCCGCTACGAGCCTGCCTGCTTTCTCCTCTGGCTTGTAATATCATTGCCTTACCCTGGCAAGCATGTGCTCAATCTGTTCAAAGGTGGGAGAATTGCACTGGGATTTGAGCGCTATCAAAGGTCTCATTTGCTTGGACTGGTCTCGCATTTCATTCCTGGGCCTGTGGCATATGCAAGGAGCCTGTGATTCAGCGAGTTAGAGGAAGACTGCCCCGTTCTGCTGAGCTCAACAAACCAGGCATGCAAAAAAGCAGCTGTATCCCTCAGGTGTAATTCACCCCTGCGCAGACCTCGATGCAGAAGGCCAGGACAAGGCCTACAGACTGCTTAAGTCTCATTTAAGCCCTACTTTAAGTGATACATAGGCTTTGCGCTGGCCTTCTGCACATTCTTTATGAATAAACGGAGTCATTATTGTCCATTTTAATCACAACTGGCAGTTCAGAGCCCTATGGTCCCCTCGCAGGAAAGTGAAATCAGCATCTCTCCAGCAGTGCAGGAACCTAGCAGAGAGAGACTGCTGGCTCCCTGCAGAAAGCCAGGAGGAGTGGCTAGGAATGATATTCATGTCATCATGGCCAAAACTTCCATGTCATCTCTTCTGTGCTTGTTCAGTACCTACATAAAGGGTACCAGGCTCAGCCAGGCCCAAGGCACTAGGGTGAGAAGCATGCCAAATAATAACGTGTGTACATGTAAGTACTCCGCACATTTTGGGGGCCAGGCAAAAAGTGAAGTCCCTTTGTCCTTCAGTGTTTCGGCCTGTTTATATGGAAATCTGGTTCGATAGCAGTTCCCTACCTTTGCAAAGTGCTTGATGTCCCTGCGAGGCAGCAGTGCATGAATGCCATTGCTTTGTTGGAGAAGCTAGCTGTTGGGCAGGAAGGGTCAAGAGTCTTGGTCTCATGCAGTCAGTTGGAGTTGAGATGTTTTGGGTATGTGCCACATAGTAAAGAGGGGGGAAAACATCTGGACTGGTAGCTACACGCTCGTTCCATCAAAGCCGCTCTTCAGACAACCGACAACATCAAGAGTCTACCGACTTGTGCTGTGGTTGGCTTAAAATTGAAAAGTTCTTAGCCCATTACCAATGGCCTGATCCATCCACTCCCTGCTCTTTAAACCCACACAAGAGGAACAAGAGCTGGACAAAGATCTGAGCAAAAATGCTGCTGTGGATCTGGGGAACATTCCACAAAGCTTCAGCCCACAGGGACCCAGTCTGTACCTGCGATGGTTACATTAGCATCAGCGTTAGCCATGGCTCATTTCAAACCAGAATAATTTATTGACACTCCTCCAAGGAGAACCAGTCAATATATTTGTTTTCCTTTGGATATACAGCTGCAGTGGCAAGCCACGCATAAAGTTTATTAAGCTTGGCTAATTTTCAAACCGCTCCAGCAATAATAGATTTTAGCCAAATTGACATCTGGATCAGCTTCAAAATCAAATGAAGGGATGATGATGATGATGAGGGTGATGATAGAAGAGTGTGTCATTCCTTTAGTAAATGCACATAGCATCTGGGGTGTTGGTATCAGTGCGCGGCCTAGAGCTAATGCAACCAGAGAAAGGGGGAAGTCAGCAAACCAAATGCAGAGTGCAGATTTTCATAGAGCTAGCCCATTGCCTTTGCTCTGCTATCCATGCTGTCAGTGGTAAAAATCCTCAACTACTTCGCTAGGTTCAGAGTTATAGCAGCACTGTGATTTTTTCTGGAAAATCCCCAGCTTTGTATTGGTTATTTTAGTGCTAACAAGCCTAGGGGAGATTGTTCCGAATACATTTCTCATGCAGAAGGGGTTTTTTTTTTTGCATCTACTTATGCATCATGCAGGAGACTAGCATTGAGGATGCTGTGCATCCTCAGCTCTGCAACTGAATCCTTGGGTGACTGGGGGTGAGGCTCTTAATGTCATCTCAATTCTACCATCTCCAAGCAATGACTTGCCTCCTGCAGGTGTTGTTAAGCTTATTTAGCACCTTCTGAGGTCCCCAGGTGAAAGCCTAATTACAGCAGCAGGTGTCTGTCTGGTCTTGCAATGCATAGATGTGACTGCACCGTAACATTGACACACCTGACCTAGCTTGAAATGGGTTAACATGGGCACTGGGAACAGCCTCGCTGAAGCAGCACGCAACTCATCACAAGCTAATTGACTCCTTCCAAGAAGCTGGGTAAGCCATCACTGGGAGGTAGATCAATGCTAACTCGGGTATCTCTATGCTGCACCACAGCAGAGACAAAGTCTTGCTTACCTGGCAATGGTTTGGAGATGTGTTTCTCCTGTACACTTAGTTTATCTGTTGCATGAAGCCCGAGGATGGAGAGGTCCTCTCGCTGGTGGACAATGTCAGCTACTCAGGGCTGTGGAAGGGAGGTTTGGATAGATGGGCTTTTTTCCCCCTGCATCACAGAGAAGAAATCCACAGTGATCTCTCCCCTACCACAACACATTCACTGGCTTGGAGCCTCCCTTTTCTTTCCAGAGAGATCCTAAGGTCTTGTGCTTAGAAAACCTTAGTGCGTAGGGATTATCCCAAAAGAATGTAACTCACTTCTTGGTGATAAATTCCAGTTAGAGAGATTATGGCTTTTAATCCACAGAAATATCACTTAGCTCTTAACTGGAGCCAGATAGGAGACAGGAGTTTGCCTGCTGCTGTTTTAGATCTGGCTTGCAGGAGATGCTGAACATGTCTGGCTCCCACTGGAAGAGGAAAGCACCTAAAGCACCCCATTACATTGGGCCTTGGGTTATTCCACCATAAGTGGAAGGGACTGGGATAAAGCACGGAGGTGGGTGATAATTTCCACAACCTCCATCAGGCTCACATTACATGCCAACACTAAAAGGTAATGACTGCAGCAATCTTTTTTGTTAGGCTCCCTGTTCTGGGAGGAAAGATTGCCTGCCGGTTTTCTTTGTAGAGGGCTTACCTAGAAGATGGCCTAGAGGTTAACACAATGAGATAAATGTTCTGGGCATAAAGCTGCCAGTTGGAATGAAATCTGTTTCACATCCCACCCTGTTCTCTCTGCAGTTCTGCTTTACTCGAGATCTAGGCTTGGCTCCTTTATTACGATGGCAACATGAAACAAGGCAGGAAGAGAAATGCCCTTGTTTATAACACCCTGCAAAAGAGCTGGGTGTGTAGCATGTGTCAGGTAAATTATTTCTGTGGAGGTTTGTGCTAATCTGATTTGCTGAGCTCAGCTAACTTTATAATCTAGATGCAGGATGGCAGGCCCTGCTTGGGAGGTTATTTCCCTTATACTCTTTCATTGCCCTGCACCCTCTATATACAGCATATGACACCTATATATCTTAACACTGATATGAAGCGTGGAAAGGAAAAATTTGTTTTCCTTCTTCCCCTTTGATACCTGGATAGACTTTTTTTTCTCTTAGATGATTACAGTTTAACTGTGATTGTGGTATAGTTGCCTCCACTGCTGTTGGGCATGTGTTTTTGCTCTGTCTCTAATCGGGTATCTACAGTTCGTTCTTCAGGTTACCTGTTCTTTGCATTAGCAATGAGGGAAAAACCAATTATGCCTTCATCACAATGTTCCAGGAAATGCAATAAGCAATGCATCTCTCACCCATTTACGTCAATCAGGCTGTAAATGTGCGTGTCTATAGTAGTTTTATTCCCAAAGGGAAATGCGCTTGCAGACTGCATGGTGCTCCTTGTAGTGGCTGCTCTGTATGGTTATTATAACAGCCTACCATTGCTTTATGATAGCAGGGTAGAGAGGGCTGGGCTGGGCTGCTAAGCCATCTTGGTTCAAGACCTGGTTGTGAGCGATGCTGGGAATAATTACATCCTCACCAGTTCCACCGACAGCACCGCTGGCTTGCATTCACTTCTTGGGTCGAGACTGGTAGCAACAATGCCGAGGGAAACAGCTGCGGGACATAACCTCTCTCTAATGCATAGTTCCAGGGAGGTTTTTAAATGGCCATACTGAACAGGCAGGGCCTTGGTGTTTAACATGTGAAATTCAGCAATTTTTCATCAATTTTGGCATCAAAACTTTGTTGCTTTGGAACTGTACATTCTTGGCCAACGTATTATCTGTTCAAGAAATGCCCATGCATAGGTTCACTCCTCCCATTTTGCTCTGTGCTGCCTTCTCCACGTGAGAACTTTATTCATGTCACAGTCTTGCAAGGAGACCATGAAATCAGCCTCAGACTCTAGTGCATGGCATTGCTTTCAGTAATGATAGTTCTTTGCGGTTCTAAGGCACCTTCACTGAAAGACCTCAGATTATTTTAACATTAAGAAATGACCACCCCAGGGAGTCAGTTATGTGCTATACTCATTTTACAGAGGCTTAAAAGTGTGTCTGTGACTATTACTCCAGTCTAATAGCAAGTATTAACAGCTGCTTGTTTGTTATAACGATCACATGAATTCTCAACCAGGCTAAAGCACAACCTGATAGGGCCCAAGTCATGTCTCTGCTGCTATATTAAAAATCAACTCTTGTGTTTGAAACTCATGTCAAAGTATCAGGTCCAGGGCTACTCCAGCTTCATAGCAAATATCTCCCTGAGTGTCCTGTAAAACAGATCAGGTAGGACAAGCTAAAATTACAGAGAGCAGGCCTGATTCTCCAGTGCACTACAACTCTTGCAAGGCCAGCTGTCATCCTGTGAACACGGATGTTTTCACCATTAGGTGGTTTATGTTGCACTTACTCAAAGAGCTGGGGAGGATGCAGTGGATCCTAAACTGCTAACTGTGATTTTGTGTGAAGGATGGCCAGATCGATAGATGCTGGTTCATTGCAAGCGATGGATATATCCGTATGCATGTATGGCATTGAGGACAGATAGTATCAAGCTCCTTTCTAATTCTCATTCCCTTTGTAACTGTGGCAGCTCCCTTCCTTTTCCTGATGTGCTTATCTCCCCCTCCCCCCCAGGTTTCAAAGCCACCCCACGCTAATCATATCCATCACAAGACCTGCATTAGCAAGGCAAGCTCCAAGCTGTCACATCACCTCATGCACCAGCATATGTTGTGGGGAAGAAGTGAGTGATTTAGAGGGACCATTCGCATTCACAGTCATCTCTTCAAATAAACAGGCTGAGAGTTTAATGATTTCAAGGTAAAGCTCTTTTATTAAGACAACACAGGGAACTTTTTCAACCACAGCTGACATCACTATAATAAATCACCATCATGTCTTGCGGGATACAAAAGCCAAAATACTGTCAAATCTGATTTTTCTGGCTACTCATGTCTCCAGAATGAACCATGTGTTTTTAATCAACAAATCTTTGTTTTGCATTTCTAAGACCCTAGCACTCTTTAAATAGTTAGCATTTACCAGAGGGATATTTTAAATTCAACACACTGCTTCCTTACTGACGAGATTAGGAAACAGGACACCACATTACAGACTTACTGGGCTTGTACTGGGCTTTCGGAAATTAGGTTTTGTTTTGTTCCTCTGTTGCAGAGGGGACTTTCCCATTCTTGTCTCCGACTTAATTAGACAGCTTTCCAAAATCAGGAAGGCTTGCTGTTTGCAACAGAGTAACCAAGCTGTCCCAACAGCATGAGAACTGCTCCTCAGTCCCATCCAAAGGCTGTGAGAAAAGTCACTAAAATAATAGCAACTTGCACTTTTCCGCTTGAGATTGCTCAGCACCGTAACAAGGGTGGGTGAATGCTAGCCTCCTTTCTTCAGGCATGAGCATCTGAGGCACCGGTTAACTGAGTCATTTTGTTATATGCACACACAACACTTAATGAGATGGGGACTGCCTGGAGGATCTAAGTCTTATGGTATTGTTCAGAGGCACAAATTTGCAGCAAGCCACCTCAGCATGGCAGATGGGTGCCAACTTGCTACTCAGCTATGCTTTTGAAAACCCCATGAGGGGGAAGAAGAAAGAGGAGGGGAAGGCATGCCCTCAACTTGGTACAACGACGGACTACCTCAGTGTTGGAAGATGGGGTTGTACCAGGAAATAATGACCGTTACAGGCTTCACAACTCACCACCACCATCAGGCCAGAACAGCATTTTTCATGCTTGCTCTTTGGATAATAACGTACAGCGCAACGCTGGGGTGAAGCTAAGAAGGTACCATGGTCTGGTCTAGAAGGGAAGGTGATCTGGTGCCTTGAACAAAATGAACGTGGTGCTAAGACTGCTGTCCATGAATGGAGTTATATGAGGATCAACAGGGAAACTCCAGAACAATAGAAATGGAGTGAGCTATCTCCGACCCTCAAAAAAAGGTGTGTTACTACACCGAGGACTACACAAAATGTTCTCTGGGAGCAAGCAGGCATGATTTGGCTGTTGACCACCTGTCATGTTCTTTACATGCACCAGAACATGCCATGAACCAGAGGAATAATAATAATACTGATACTAATAATTTGCTCGGCGTCACACAGTCACCTGGAAACGGAAGCCAAGAATCTGAATGCAATACTCGACAAGAAAAAACTCAGTTGGGCACCCTTCATGAATGCCAAAATGGTTGTTAACTGAGAATAAGTGAACGCGGTTTAAAAATCTGCTCTGCTTTGCATAGGAGATGGCAGCTTAGGGAGTTTGGTACCATCTTTTTAAATGACATCGCTGACATGTGGCACCGGCACCTCATAAGTGCTGCTAGCACTTTGTCCATATCTCGGGTTTCTGAGTTTTCCAGTAATGGACACTAGCACATGCTAGATTTAGTTTGCTAGATTTAGTTTGCTGTTCTTTCAGCTATTTTGCAGAGGCCTTTAAGGCATCCTTAGGCATACACATTCTCATCTAGCTGCAGCCTCCAGAGGTATTAATTTGTATTCTAGATATGCCAAATTTTGAGCTCCCAAGTGCTTGTCCTGCACCCGGGGAGGGGGGCCTCCCCATCCAAACTCTGGTTTCAAGGTCAGGCTGAAACAGGAGATGCTCAGATTCCCTTTCACACCACTCCTGGCCCCCTCCCGATATCACAAATATATGCAACGTGCTCAGCCTGTTAGGCACAAATGTCAGAGCCGAGAATAAGCTCGGGACCAGACCCAGTACAAGCGCATCCGTGCCAGTCAGCATGCCATGTGGTCTCAGAGACAGGTGTCCAAAGGATGAGACCAGCATTGTAAGCCAAAGGCCTGGCCACACCATAAACCATGAACTGGCAGAGGGCAGGGTGTGAAGGAAGCTGCTCTTGTCCCAGGCATAGGCAGACTCCAGGCCTCAGCACTCACCTGAATATTTGAGTGGCACAAGGGGATGGAGCTCACATCAAGATCTGGATGAGATGGACACATGAGCCCACACTTCAGAATTGAGGCCAGGTCAGATTTAGCGTTGAGCTTCTGGCCCATATTCAAAGGGGCCCAAATCTCACAAGACCCCTGCCATTTTAGGCCAAAACTTTCAGGCAGGTTGTCTTCTGGCAATGCTGGCACCTGGGCCTGAACAAGAGACCCTCCTACTATAAGTACTGAGTGAGAATCAAAGCCGTGCTGATAAGTTTGGGTCCAGGGATCCTCACACACCAGCAGCTCCTCTCCCCTCCTGATAGTCTGTCATCGTTGGATCACGTCACTTTGATCAGGTCCCTCTCCGAAAACATCTGGCTATGTGGTTCTGTGCTTGCTGGAGGTGGGGTGTTAAGTCTTTGCAGTCCTTTTCTGAAAGAAAGAGGGAAGACATATTCCTATCCCACTCCTGGGACACGGGGATGAAAGGGGGACCATCTCCTCTGCAAAGACATGAAGAACTTGCAAGCTAAATGGACAAGGAAGAGATGGGATGAGAGGAAGCCTGAGGTCACCATGGACGCACACATTTTGCAGCTCCTCTGGTGTAATTCCTTCACCTCCTGCTTGGTTGTAGACAGCCTTTGGAGCTGCCAGGCTGGCTTCTGAGAGATGAAGTATGAGAGGAAAGGCTGGAGGGGAAGGAGGAATATAATTTAAAACAGTGCAGATGGGTTGATTGCCAGCTGCCTTCCCCGCTTGAGGCAGAACATGAAGCTCTCTTTCTCCCTGTCATACCTGCCATGCTGGGGCGGTGGCTCGGGGTGGTGGCCCTGCTCCATTTTTTAGTTTCAAAGAAAGAACAAGCAAGGCCAGAGGAGTCCCAGCAAGAAAGGGGGAGGCCTCTGCTCTCCCACGTCACCCCCTCCGTGATTAAGCTACCTGGTGATGCGTCCAGAGGCAAGACAGCCCCCGTTTGCACAAACCGTTTCCTCCACTTCACTCTTGGCTATTTCCTCCCAAGGAAAAAATAACCCTCTCGCTGCCAGCTGCACTTCCCCCAGATTGGGAATGAACTTTCCCCTCTGGATGAACTCCCGTCGGCCCCCGCGCCTCCCTGGTAAACCTCAGCACATCTGATCTGAAGGTCTGGCTGGGATGCTGGGAGCCTCTTCCCACCCCCACTCTCTTCTCCCCAGGCCCCCAACAGAAGGCATAAAAGCAACCTGGGAACACACATTTATATAACACCCCTCCCACACGGCCCAGCAAGATCAAAGCCCGCCTCGGGAATCAAAGCATGTGACAGGCAGGTGTCCATCCTTCTCGACAGGACCTCGATTAATCAAACAGCCTAACCCACAAGGAGATCAAACCAGGCCTCCCGCTGGCTGTTGGTTAAAGCTTGCCTTCAAGCTGCCCTAATTAAAGTTTCCTTCCCCCTCCTCCCCGCCCCTGGTTTTCAGGCTGACTGCTGTCCCATGACCACCACTCACTCACGCTCTAAAACAAAGGCTGCTGGAAAGAGCTTTGGGCAGTCTCTGCACTCTTGCTAGTCGGGCTCCCTGCCTTTCTTCTTGAACTGCCACACTGTGCAACACGACCGATGAGGACATAGCCCAAGCAGAGCCCCCCAGGGGACAAGGGCTCTGTAAAATCCTCTACAGCCTGTCTTAGCAACAGTCTGGCTTGCAAGGAAGGTGCTCAGATACCAGGGCGATGGGCAGTGGGACCAGCTCCAGACAGCCTATGACATTTCAGGGGCCAGTGGCCCCATTGTAGTCAAAGATCCCAAGATACTTTACAGACCTTAGCTAAGCGGGTATGACAGGAGTGGGTAGAGCAGCAGCACTGTCCCCATTGTGTAGAAGGGAAGACTGAGACACCAAGATGTGTGGTGTCATTTTCCCAAAACTACTAGTGGTTAGGAACAAAACCCAGGGACTCAGACCCCAATTCAGTGTAGCTGGCTTTTCTACACTATTACCACCGCTGTTTCCAAAGAGTACTGTACATCAACACCAGGGCTGCTCTAAACCCTTCAAATTTTATTTTTTGCCATCTCATTTTTAATTGAAATGTTGACCACCACCCCCTAGCAGTTTCCAACCCTCCCCCCCCCCCCCCTTTTTTTTTTTTTCCCCCTTTTTTTTTTTGACTAGCTACTCATTTGTTGGGGAAAAACATGGAAAATGCTTATTTAAAATATTATCCACATTTTAACAAGGAGATTTCATGGGGAAATGCATGTCAACAATGTTCTTTTCATGGTATCCTCCCATTCTTAATACAAGCCTGTTTCAAGGGCTGTGATACAGAATACAGTGAATCAAAGTTAGGACCCAGACCCAAACAAGGAAAGCTAGAGGACACAGAGTTATTCTGAGCTGCAGAGAGAAAGAAGTGGGGCCCTAGCATGGTAGGTGCTGAATGCAGAGGACCACAAGATTATTCCTCTCCAAATGAGCTTTGCAGTGTAATTAAATATGTTTCCCTTCTCATTTGTGTTTCTGCCAGTGCCCTGCATGCCAGAAGATCTGTGTGGCTTGGCTAATTATCAGTATTTGTACTGGGATAACACCTAAAGGCTCTGTTCTGGGCTCCAGTGTGCCATGTACTATGTAAGACTGTAATTAAAAGATAATTCCTTGGCCCAAAAAGGCTAAGCCTGCAATGTGTTCTAGGCCCTTTTTAACAAGAACATGATCACAGGTGCCACCTTGTACTTTGATACAGTCACATTTGGAGAATGAAGGGGTTTTCTTTCTTGTTTCCTCCAATTGCCGGAAAATCTACAGCTGGTTAGGAAAAAAACAAGTATGAGTAACTGCAAATTTTGAAAAACACTTTTCCTCTCTCAACTTTTTATTTAAAATGGATAATTTTGCTTCTTTTCTGTTTCCATCAAAACTTTTCTTTGATGTTTTTCAAGGTTTCATCAAAGATAGATAGATAGGTAGATAGATAGTGCTTTTGCAGGCAAGACCCTGGCTTTGTTAATTGAAAATGAGCCTGAAGAACATTCAGGGTTTCTTTTTTTGAAAATCATTTTGCATGCACAGCAAAGAATTCTGTTTCATTGAGATGCTTTTATTTAGTTATTTAGTTATTAATTTTTTAGCCAAACCAACCTAAAACATGTTAATGGAAATTGTTTTCCCAGCTTGACCGGTACTTCCCTTCTTTCATTTTTGCATTTCATGGGAATGGGCGCTTATCCTGGGTGATTGCCACTCATTCTCCCATTGACCTATGGATGCATTTATGGGTATGGATTTAAAACAGAGCACAGCGTTGTTTCTTTTTTCTAACCCAAACCTCAGCAGAACCCAAGTAAGTGTCTAATGTAAGGGCGGGCAATTATTTCAGGTGGAGGGCCACATACTGAGTTTTGGCAAGCCATCAAGGGCTGCATGACAGGCAGCCAGGGGCAGATAAATATTAATTTTCTACATTTTTTAGGGGCCCCGCAGGCCGGATAGAATGGGCTAGCAGGCCGCATCTAGCCCGCAGGCCACATTTTGCCCACCCCTGGTCTACTGGGTGCTTACCCTGCTCCTAGCCCATGATGTGAAGATGCAAAACCCTGCGATGGAAAAGGTTGTCCAGCCTCCACTAGTTACAACTCCTATTCTGTTAGGAGATCCCTGCTGGGGAACCCATCTCTCTACCCATCAGCTCTGCACAGAAGCTATTTGCCTGCTTCTGAACTTGGATCTACCTGTTCTGACTTGACTCCGTGCCCCTTTACTGGGACCCTGGAAAATCCCATCCATCTTCCGTGGAAGGGATGAACACAGAGCGGAGGGTCAGTGCTGAAACCCTGGTTCAGGTTAAGCACTTGAATGGGGAGGAGGGGTGGCAATTACAAATTGTTCAGCTGTCAGTGCCAGGTGTGATTGATTGTAACGAATGAGGGGCAAGATGTAGGCTTCAATCACAGGCGCACTTTGACTCTGGCACCAGGACAAACCACCTTTCACAGCCTCTCGGTGACCTTTCTCCCTCTCTCAGCTCACAGGCTATCAGTCAAACACTTGCCCCAAAACTGACCTTTTCTGCAGAGAAGCCTTGCTAAAAGCAGCATTTCTTTCCGAAACCCTGCAAGAGGAATGTTATTAATACTGGCTGGGATACAGTACGGCTTTCTCAAGCCTCGCAAATGCGTGCCAGGGAGGGAAGGCAACCCCCATGCCAACTTCATTATGATGAGGGGCTTCTGAAACCCCCCCTGAACACATTAGGAGTGTTGGCCTCATTGTAGCTGGGTTTAAATAGATAAACTCATAGATATATGTCTGTCCCTCTCAGCCTCCTCGCATGTATTTGTCAATTTACACAGCTGCTTCTAATTACTGCTTTGAAGTTCCCCCTCTCTGTTTTTCTAGCTGACGGCTTCTACACAGGGTTTCTGGGGTCAGGGCAGGCAGACTTCAAAAAGGTTTGGACGCTGGGTTCGGATGAGTACCCAAAAGTTCAGCACTTCTCAGCCCCTGGCTTCAGCTTCAAGCTGGAGTCCTGCCAAATGACTTGTTCCCTAGTTTTAACTGGGTCACAAATGCACTGATGTGACGCTGTGGCCCTGTGGGTTGCAGAGCGAGAAGAGGTCTTTGATGGAGCCAGGCCTTGATCTCCTGATGGCCTTGGAGGTGAAGACCAAAGCTTTGAATTGTGCTCGTCTTTGAGACTCGGGAGTTGTTTGAACCAGAAACTCAAAGCAAAACTCAAGGTAGGAGTCCTGCATGCAGAGAGTCTGAAGAAAACCTTCCATGAATTCCCCTGGAGCAAAACAACCCGGCTTCACCCAGCCCTGTCCTTAGCCTCTGGTTGACTTGCCAGCCCAGCATGCAGACACGCACACTGAGTCTGCTTCTTTCACTGACGGTGCTGTGTTTTCTCTTATGTCTCTTCTAACACTGGAAATGGCCCCGAGCCACGAAGTGCAGAACTTGCCCAAAGCCTGGGGACGACTGTGCAAAGATTTCCACCATACGCAAGTCACTCAGATCCATCCATGCTGCAGCACAGGCCTTGACTGTATGAGCAATGACCCTAAATCTGTTAGGCAGCAGCAGTAGCAGGCCATTTTCCTACAGGTCTAGGTGTCTATGGCAGAACGCAAGACACAACATGCAAGTGGGTTGCACTTGAACTCAGAGTCGTCACTTGGGGCTCAGTCTTTTACCAGCTGCTGGCTTAAAAATGGACAAATCCATGACTCTCCTGCGGAGTACAGAATCTAGCATGGAGTTGCCCACACTGTGTTCGGGGACTGCTAGGCCCTGCAATGGTAATAATAGCTGTAAATTGCTATTTCCCACAAAAGATGGATGAACTCGTCGTACAAAGTTTGTGAGTAAAACAATCTGCTGCTGCAGAGAAGATGCTTATCTAAATAGGATTTTTTATTTAAAAAAAAAAAGAAAGATGATAATAACGATAATAACAATAATAATAATCATGGTAGTAACAATATCTCTTTTTAACCTGTGTTAAGATTTGGATCTCATTCTACACCAGAAAATAAATCCAAACCCAGGAGAATGTGATGAAAATGAATATTGATTATTAGGAATAATGGTCAGGAATGTAATAGTATCATGATATTCGAGGGGAAGGGATCTCTCCAGGGCCGGGTAATAATCAAAGTCAGGTTTAGTACTTGTATCACACTTTCCATCCAACTACTTAAACACTTTCCTCAGGTTTAATTATTTTGTAACTTGCTGGTGCAGAGGGATGAAAATGATTGTGGCAATGAACAGTGTCCTGCCCGGAAAATTCAGTCCTGCACTTCAAGACACTTGTACCCACCACCGTGCACTGCTTGTGCATGCTCACCATTGCACTCTCACCCTGCATATGCACTCATGTACACACGCTACCCTTGCCTTGTGCATGCCCACACCTCTGCACACTCATTCCCACATTGGTGTGCCCCTGCCTGCCTGCCCTTGCCCTGTGCGCATGCTCAGACATCCGCATGTACACACACATGCATATACCACACTGCCCCTGCACAAGCTTTCACACGTGTGCATGCACAGGCTTCACTGCAAACTCTCCCTGGCCTTTTTACGCAAGCCCTGAGTGACTGAAGCCATCCGTTCCCCCACTAACCTCCCAGCATTTTGAGGGCCAAGTTCTAGAGTTTCCTGACGCACAAGGAGACCTGACCATCACTCTGTTCCCAGCCGACACTGTAATTCATACTGCACTGGGTTCTCTGG